CCCCCCCCCCCCCCCCCTCTCCCTCTCTTCAAAAGAGTTTAAATTAGAGAAGATGAGAGTTTGAAATAGGTTTGGATTTGTAATTGAGGTAAATGGATAAGAGAGTTTGTAAAGGGTTGAAATGGAGAAGATGAGAGTTTGAAATTGGTTTGGATTTGTAATAGAGTTAAATGGGTAAGGGGTTTATAAAGAGATGACATGGAGAAGATGAGAATTTTAAATAGGTTTGGGTTTGCAACTAAGTTAAATATGTGAACAACAACTTTCAAATTTTAATGATTTGGGGGACTAAAATCAAAATAGTGAAGATTTGAGCGACTAATTCAAAATATTCTTATTGGCGACCCAGTTTTTCGCCTATTTGACCATTTTGGTCAACACAAAAAACCAAACTATCGCCAGAGTAAAACAAAAATAAAGTGTCCAAAGGGGTCAACAAAAAATACTAATCTAGTATTTTAGTTACGAAAAGCTAAATTTCATGTAACATACTATACATAACCAAGAAAAAGAGACAGAATTATTTTTATCTTCATTAAAAAAAAGATAAACCTCAGCTTTGGATCATCTTTTTTTTTTTGGATAAGGACTTTGGGTTAAGGAAAGACATAATTTTATTTTGTTGAGTTAACCATGTAGAAAATAGACTAAGGCACTGTTTGGCAACCAAAAAAGTGTCTTATCTAAGAGCTTGTGTCTTATTGACTTGATCAATAAGCTAGTAGAGCTGTTTGGTGAATCTAAGAGCTTGTGTCTTATTGACTTGATCAATAAGCTAGTAGAGCTGTTTGGTGACCAAAAATAGGAAGAGATTATTTTGGAGATTGTGTCTTTTGCAAGTAGCTTTTGGAAAGCTATCTCAAGTAGCGTTTGTCTTTGAGAAGGAGCTGTCAATTTTTTTTTCCGTTTTTGCCCCTAATAATTCTAATTTTATATCAATAATATTGCATGTCTTTTTTAGCCATTTAACAAATTTAAGCTAGTTGTACAGCTACTTTTGCCAAACCGCTCTAGTCAATCAGCTAACTACACAGCTATCAGCTTTCAGCTACAATTTCACAGCTTTCAGCTAGCTTAACAGCTTTCAGCTATAATCTCGCAGCTTTCAGCTAGTTTTGCCAAACAGAGCCTAAGTCTAATAAAATTTTTGTAAGGATAAGCTTAACTGTGGGGATGTTTGGGTCTGTTGTAAAAATAAATCGTAACAATGTTGCATGCAACATTTTTTACAAAAAATTAACTTCAAATTCATACTTTAGAAATCTACAATTATATTGTAGGAAATATATTTCCAATAATGCAAATTCAGTGTTTACTTGAAAAGAACTTCATAGTTTATGCAAAAGCCGCATAATTTTGGCATATAAGAAAATTTGAGTGTAGATCATTTTCTTATTTAG